AGCTGCTGTGGACTTCATAAGGCACTTGTTGAAATTAATGGGAACTGGTGCCGGCTACATGCATGCGCAATCCGGTTTCATCAGTGGGGGTGGTCTGTTGTCTCCTAAAATGTCCAAATTGATCCGTGTGCAGACATGGTTCAATACCCCCCTGGACGATGGGGATGGACCCGGAATAAGAATTAGCCATATGCAAATGTATAGCATCTTCTTACCTCCTCTAAAACGGCTCCTTACAGGATGGTACAGTCTAGATTAGTTGTTATGGAATTTTGAAAGCAAATGAGTTTTTTCCCACATTTTCCATTTTGAAACTCGACCATAGACGGCGAAAGTGGTGGCACATTGGTTTCATCAAAGAAAACGAGCAGAGCTTTGTGGCAGTAAAGTGTGGATTTACAGAGGAAAATCTAAGGATTTGAGAAGACAAAAAGATCTTTATGAAAGCTTTAGGTTCTCTGTCAGCTGGGTCGAGATGTTTTAGTTTACACTGAGTTCTATGGAACATTATTATGGGTAGCCCATGTGAAAGTAGTCTGCCAGTACCACGGGCGCCCTTGTGCCATGGGTGGGACAGCTTTAAGCTAGTAACCACAATATCAGTTACTATCATAGATCTATGCCGTCCTCCCAGTTCTGCGCAGTCGACGAGATACCATGAAGCTTAGCTCCAAATAAGCGTATTATTATAAAAGTTCATGGTATGTGGCTATCATGTCGTGTTAGGAGGGGCACGACACTGTCATGGACAATCAAGCTGCAGATCAGAGCGGAGCTAAGCGGGAGGTAGAGTGGGAGACAATTTGTGGCACTAGAGTGGATTGTCTAGAGAACGAGGGATGTAAGAAGGACAAAAAGTTCAGCGATGACAAGGGACACTAAGATTTCCCACATATACCCATGGGAAACTATATTATTCTACATTGTGTATTACTAGCTTATAGCATGTCCCACTCCGGGCAAGGGGGCGCCCACGGTACTGCAGACTAAATTCATCGCGGCACTACCCAGAAAAAGGTCCCATAGAACTAAATGTAAACTAAAACAGCTCGACCTCTGCTGACAGAGACTTACAGCTTTCATAAAGATCTTTTTGTCTTCTCAAATCCTTGATTTTCTGTAAATCCACACTTTGACTGCCACAAACTCTGATCGTTTTCTTTGTTGAACCAATGTGCCACCACTTTCGCGTCTATGGGCAGTTTCAAAATGGAAAATGTGAAAAAACTCATTCTGCTTTCAAAATTCCATAAAACTAATCTAGGACCTGCCTACCATCCTGTAAAAGACCGTTTTAGAGAGGTACGATAGATGCTATCGTTAGCATGGCTAATTTTATTCGGGTCATACCATCGGTCCAGGGGGGTATTGTACGCATGTCAGCACACGTCAATTTGGACATTTTAGAGCACGACCCCCCCACTGATGATAACCCAGTTGAGAATGCATTAGCGGCACAGTCCCATTAATTTAACAAGTGCTTATGAAGTCCACAGCAGCTAAACTAGACTGGTCCACAAAAATATACTCCCACTCGGCATTGACACATCTGTCAATGTTGCTTTGGGGCAAGAGGCAACTTTTGGACCAATCTAGGTAGGGGATTTCAAGAGGAACGTAGATGGCATGAAAGAGGCAGATGCAGTATGTCGTCGCACACTGCTCATAGACTTTTGGAGCCTGGAACGTCCCTAATGGTTTAAAACAGGTAGCTTGTAGGCAGGTTTCTAGAGCAAAAACATAAATGATCAGAATCCTGAAAAGTGTAGAAGATCTGAGTGGAAAATCATAACTATCAATTAGCAATCCCAAATGAAACGGGTGGAATGCTGAGTGTTTTCAATGCTGCTGATGAGAAGATTGCTGCAGAGATGTGCTGCTCTACTGCAGGAAGCCACACCCAACCAGAATACACAGGATGGGACCTGCAAGAACCTGCTGTGACAAGATTTTGTTCGTCAAAGAGAGGAGTCTGAAGGGTTCATAGGACAGTCCAATCAGCCAGCTGCTACGGTGGCAGTAGCTTTCGGCCTTCAGATAATCAAAACATCAAGTGGAAAAATCACCTCGTGTGAAGAATGATGAGTTCAACTTTCAATTCTGTAGCATTAGCATCTGCTAGCTTTAGGACCTGGTGTTTTTAGGATGAAGATGGTTATCACTCAAGGCATTGCCCCGTTATCCATCTGTTTGGGCACATTCTCAGCAGCACAGGGTACAGGTTGGCCATACAGTTTTGACAAGAGTCTTGTAACATGAACATATATGTGAACAATCAGAACCACAACCTGCTGTCCATCATTTATTAGAAAACATTTAATCTTGTTTCTGGGACAGAGTGAACTGAAGTGAGGGTCTCCCCATTCCAAAATACATAAATATGACATTCAGTGATAAGCCGAACAGTTGAGAGAATTGGACTGATTTGATTACACAGTTATGAGTGAAAGTTTATTTGAACATGGAATAAAACAGATTAGAACAAAAAACTACAACAATTAATACAAGAGAAAAAAATACACAGTAATTTTTTGGTTATTTTCTATACATACAACCTTTTTTAATTAAGGTGAAAACCAAAATGATACTAGTTTGTATAGACTCATTTTCTAGAGACAATTTATTTTACAGAGATGGGTGTTTTTTGGCACTTGCAGTTCACTGTTTTGGTTCAGTCACGCGCGATGTCCTCATGTGCTTCCTGTGATTGGCTAACAACTCCAGAGTGATGGAGAAGTAGCAATGTTTGTTCAACTCAAATGTGTTCCTCATTTATCTCAGAATAGAAAGGCGAAGTCGAAAGAATAACTATTTCAATTTTTGCTCGGATTCCATGTTTCAGTGAAGTGCCACTAGAAAGTTTTTATTGTATTTTTTATGGATTATTGAGAATGTCCAAATGTTTTCCTAGATCATTATTTCAACACTGAATTCCTAGAACAATAATATTGACGGCCATAATTCACGGCAAATTGATTTAACTGTGACTTTTTCAGTTTCTACTGTGTACTGAACACAAACTATTGTAGTCGGTCTATCCATCTATCCATTTTCTATTCTGTCTATGATTGTCTATCTGTCTATCTATAAGCAGTGTTATTTGAAGACTATGGACCTTGAGTCTGAAATAAAGTATCATATCATGTCTATAATGGTCTATTTATACTATGCCGACTTGGTAAGAAAAAAGATTAAAACATCATCATTATCAGGTAGTGTATTCATCTACTGGAACAGTGAAAATTGGATTAAATGATTACAGTTTTTCTCGGCGCTTGTGCATTTTCACATCGTTCTTCACATTTCACAACTGTTGCTGAATTCTCAGAACAATTAGTGCAAACTGCCGTACCTCTGGATAACTGCAAAAGTGCGTCCACTTTCCACAAAATGAAAAGTTATGTGCTTCAAAGCATGTTCAATCGTTCAATGAAAATGTCTGTGTCGTCAAAATAATATGTCCTAACAACAGTGAGTTTGAACATCACAGTAAATGATTAGTCATTGTTTTTCCATTGTGGAAAGTTTACTCTCTCTGTGTTTTCAGAGATAAAAAAGTAGATCTCGGTGACACTGAGCACGACTACTGTATGAGCACACTATACGACGACCTATACAGCCATTTACAGCAAAAACTACAGTAAAGTTACACAAGACTGTATTCAGAGAGTTAAACTGACATTCTGTAACTATATGTATATGTGTTTGTATGTATGTATGTGTGTATTTATGTATGTATGTACAGTATGTATGTGTGTATCTATGTATGTATGCACTGTATGTAGTGTGTATGTGTGTATCTATGTATGTATGTTACAGTATGTATATGTATGTGTGTATCTATGTATGTATGTAAAGTTGTAGTTTATGTTTGTGTGTATGTGTGTATCTATGTATGTTGTACAGTATGTATATGTATGTATGTGTACTGTAATGCTCTTTGTAATTTTGTCGCACAATGCTGTTGGAATTGCAGGCCATACAGTATACTGTACATGTAGTTGATACATAGAACAAACATAAAAGAAATTTCAGTATGGTAGAACTGTGACCAAAAATGAACAATAAAGGGCATACCTCATGGAGTGATAGCTGAATTCACCTGGGATAAATTGTTCAATCTAAGAAGATTTACAGGAAAAAAAGATGAAGGAAATGTATGATTTCGCTGACATTTATGATTTTGAGAACTAGTTCAACAATTTGGTATGTGATGAACCAAAGGATGAAATGAGGACAGTTAGTTTTATAGTGAATGATATTCAGAAGTTGAGAAGTGTGTTTCATTTTGCCTGAACAGGACAGAGCAACTGATGATGTTGAAAAAAACGATGAGAATTTGTTGAAAAGTAACTGATTACAGAAACAAAAGCATTTGAAATGTGTTCAGAGGAATGAGAACCTGCCATGATCATGTGCACCTAATGACACCAATGTTGTGGAAGTTGACATAATAGTTTTGTAGAACTTTTAGTCTGATGTGAAAAATGCACCAAAGCGACCTGAGGAAAAAAAACTGTAATTTCATTTGGTCCTTGTACCAACGAAAAATGTGTGTATGTGGAGGGGAAGATAAATTACTAGTTGTTCCATAACGTCATTTCTGTGTGGCAAAAATATAGTCCTAATCTCGTTTAATTCATACAGATTATGATAAAGGGTCAAAATGAAGTTAAACCATTTCCTCTTAGAAAGGGTGTTTGAAAACAGGAACATATGCATCCACACTTCTTTATATATTAAAAGTTCAACCTCTTAATCTCTCTGTGACTGTTGATCTTTCGACAGAGACGGAGTCTTCAAGCCACAAGTATTTGCATAATTTTATTGAAAAAAAAAAATAGAATCTGCAAATTGCTACATGGGTTGTTTGTCAAAATGCACACACATGTTATAAAAGTAATAAATATATCAATACAAAAAGGGTCCTCTGGTGACATTGCTCTACCGTTGTTGCCTCCCAATGTGTTTTAAGCAAATAACACAATATTGTTCGCTTATCAGCACTTGTCAATGTCCTGAAGCGGCAATTGAGGTCTGCTGTCCATGGATACTGTGACGTTGCCCCCCCCCCCCCCCCCCCCCCCCCCCCCCCCCCCCCCCCCCCCCCCGAGTGTTGGAGCAGCCTTCGCCTTGACAAAACCTCTTCAGATGATGCATGGATGAACTTGCGGAATTTCCATTGTGGCGAAAAATTGTACACCACGGATCCAGGATACAGTTCAACCCCCATCAGCCACCAATGTCACTGGATGTGCGTGTTGAGATGTTGTAACAGATCTGGTTGACCAATGCCACGCTGCCCCAAACCTACCCTTGAATCTGCAACAACGCTAACGCCCACGGCACCGTTGGACAAGTGGTGTGGCCAAAACGCACAAAGATGAAGACACCGATCCACGCTAGCAGCATCTGCGTAAGCTCTTTGCTTGACACCTCTGGGGCGCTTTGCGTTGGAAAAACTCATGGTGGACTGCCTGGGATTTAATCGTAGATGACCTCACCCCTATCTCAGATTGGACGCGGAGATTGCCGTTCATGAGGTTTTGAACGATGAGTTAGGTTGAATATGACGGACGAGGAAAAATGATAACGAAAAACATCTGCGATTATGGCGAAATGGGTCGCGGCTACGGTTTTCTTCTGAGAATCGGTTTGTATTTGGTATCCTTCAAAGGCGCGAGTTTTACCGTCGGAATCCAAGTTGGTTCCAGGTGAAAGTAGATAAGGAACGGACATGGCGAAGACAGGCAAGCCAATGAAAGCAAATTACTATCCCGCGATTTCGACGGTCCGAAGCATACAGCATACAACGGTTCGAGACGCCCAGTATCGGTTGGCACACTAATAGCACCCAAGAAAAGGGTGGAAGAAATATGTATTGACGAAAAATAGGGATCCTGTTACCGACACATTAAATCGAGATATATCCAATCGCCACGACGCCTGTAATAATCGATCCAAAAGGTAGCGCGACCGAAGAGAAGGTCTGCACGGGTGAGGTTGGTCATGTAGATGCGAATTTCGCCCTTGGCTTAGCTTCGCGAAGACATCGAATCACGAACAGGACGTAGATGTTGGCGAGAAAGACCGTGGCGAAGATCAAGCCGTAGAATGGGAGGGAAGAGGTTAGGCGAAACTCCGAGTCCCAGGAAGGAAGAGGCGTAGGTGGGGAGAGGGGGGAGACCGCTGGTGGTGGCTGTGGGGACAAGGGTGGAGGATGCATAATGAGTCCAACTGGGGAGAGAAAAAACTGTGTTAGAAAATATTTAAGACTAAGATTAAAGACGATTATTTATTCCTCCCACCAGTGGAGGAATGTCGTGTTGCATCATCAGTGATAGAACAGTAGGAATGAGGAGCACACAGCTAAAAAATGAGTAAAGCCGTAAATACAAGTGAGTAAATTTAAATACAATCTGTCTAGATTTATTCAAATAAAGAGCAAGTTTAAGATCTCTATGTCTTTAGTTGGCCTAATAAAGAAGCAAGTTTATAATGTACCTACAACATTTATAGTGAGGCTAGTTTGCAATGTCGTCCCTAGGGGGCTTTTAACACTATTAAAACACCATTTTTAATTATAAATTTAAAATTATACAGACAGGCAGACAAAGTAAAACATTGAGATTAACAAGAACAGAAAAGAGGACATCCAAGCGAGTTTCCAGTGCAATATGCGGTAATGTGCAATAGTTTGTATAAGTGCTAAGTGCTGTTAAGTTGCTTCTCAACTCGTTTAAATGTAGTTCCCAACCTCTATTCCGCCCCAGGGCCCTATGGCGTCGTCTGAGGGTAAAAGTGTGCTGGCAAACACATTTTAGCTCAAACACTATCATTTTATGTTTATGTACAACTTTAGTTAAGAAGGAGAGAAACTGGATATGATACAGGGCGAGAACATGACAGATAAACAAGACAGGGTTTTAAGTTCATGGACCTCTGGGTTAATACTTATTGGAGCAATTAAAAATAAAGTAGTTAGTCTTTATTGCAGCGTCTAGTGCAGAGGTAACAGCGGTAAATAAGGCTTTGAGGTCTGAGATGAGTGTCAACAATAGCACTATCAGATGAGAAGAACCTTTTTTCGTCCCACAGTGGGGTAATGTCAATATATATTATATAAGCAGTGCTATGTTCTTAGGCTAGCTGTAAATGCTACATAAGAGCAGCAAGTACAATAGCAGTATGTGTGTGTGTCGTGTAAGTTTTTGGCAGGGACTATCAAGTAGTTAAGGCGACATTCAGGGGACCCTCTGGAATTGCTGTATTGCATAGTGCACACTGATTACCAAAACTTTACTATTTGAGATGGTGGTTACTTGTACAAGTTCAGCAGTTCTCATTGTGCAGTCTGACAGCAGCAGGAAAGAAAGAACTGTTGAAACCTCTCCTTCACATAGTGGGTGTCTGTCTGTCACTGCATCTGCTATCCAGAGTTATAAGTTTGAAATTTATTATTGTTATCTAAGGCTCTGTTTTCTGTAAGTATTGGTGATCATGAACAGGTGTCCCTCAAGAAAGGCCTGATAATATTAAGATTCAAGATTAGTGTATAATGTACCCGAAGGAAAATTTATAATTAGAATACACCTCACAGTTTTCACATGGAAGTGGCACATAATTCAATCAATTCAATAATTTTTTTGCAATTCCCTAAATCGCAACAGTAGCTATCTCAGAAGGACGTAATTTCAGTTCAGACACACGAAATGGCAATGATTTTAAAAATAACACATTAGAGCATTGGTCCAGAAAGACAGAAATGAAACCATTCAGAGCAATGCAGGACGGTTCTGGAGGTTCACTGATTTAGAGAGATACAAGTTGTTATTACGGCTGTGGGATATTTTATTTACTATTGGTTGAGACTCTGGCAGCGGTCCACATGGGGAAACTCACACTCAAGGTGAGTAACGAACAAGATTCTCAATATCAGCTGTAATGTCAAGATGGCTGCTCTCTAACTGTTATACACACTTATCTGTACAGTTCTGCTTTTGTCTTTAAACACTACGCAACACGCACAAACACACACACACACACACGCACACGCCACGCACCGTACTCACCACCAAGCACACGCACACGCACATTGCAAGTCGGGCTTGAGTCGATGTGGTTCCCCGTATCTATTAGTATCTATGTGCCATGGATGGAGAGCAAGTAACTAATAAATTTAACGCGTAATTTACCCATCTCCTTTCGATCTTAATCTGTATAATTGTAATGGATCATCATCTGATATATGTAAATATGTATCATCATTCTGTATAAGATACACTGTGTACTATAAATAAAGATGATGAATAAGAAATGAGGACATTAAATCTATGACTCAGATCATCACACGAAAAACCAAATACATTCTAAGTTCGGAATAGTCTCAGAGTTGTGGAGTTGATAAGATTAGAGATCAGTTATTCGTCCCACAGTGGGAAATTTCAGTGTGCATCATCAGTGACCAGAACAGTTAGGAATGAAGGAGCACACAGCCAGATGAATTAAACAATACCTTTATACTGTTATAAAATAAGATAAAATCTCTAACTTTCAGCATAATAATATTAATAATAATAATAATTCAAATAACAAACAGACAGAGAGAGAGAGTGGAGAGGGGTCAGCGGAAAGATCCACATAGCAGACCTGTGACAGACCAAGAGAGAGACCAAAGAGACCCCAGATGAGACCAGACAGAGGACCAGAGAGAAAGTACACGATAAGAGACTGTGACAGACAGAGATAGACCAGAGAGAGACAGAGAGAGAACAGAGAGAATAGACCCCGATAGAGATGTCACAGAGTGAGAGACCAGAGAGACCCCAGATAGAGAGGTCACAGAGAGACACAGATAGAGAGGTCACAGGAGATACCACAGATAGAGAGGCCACAGAGAGACCAGAGAGAGAGACCACAGAGAGAGAGACCACAGTGAGACCAGAAGAGGAGGACAGAGAGAGAGGCCACAGAGAGACCAGACTATGAGTCCACGAGAGAGAATGTAGATTAGAGATATTAATGTTTTCTGAATTTGTTATTATATGCCTCTCACGGTTGGTCTGCTCCGTCACAGTTGTCTTGTTCTACGTCGCTGAGTGAGAGAGAGGCGAGAAAAGGAGTGGAGTGCAGAGTGAAGGGCGCGGAGTCACAAAACTCCCTCATTGTGCAAACTTTCTTTTTCGCTCAAGATGTTACAGTTCACTTCAAATATTTTTCCCTATTTTCTGGTATTTCTTACAAGGCCAAACAATTACAATATATATGTTAGGAAAGTTGCTCTTTGCTAAAGTGAGTGGGATATTAAACTTTTCTTCTTATGTCAGTGATGTATTGTACTTATACGTTTTGAGGTATTACTCATTTTATCTTGTGCTCGTCTTATGTGCTCTCACTGGTGATGCAACCTGATTTTCCCCACTGTTGGACCATTAAAGGTAGCTCTTAATCCTTGTCTAAACATTGTTCTTCATTTCTTTTTTGTAGGGATTTCCCTGAGGTTGCTCCAGTTCCCAAGGTTGCACTCTCTTCGGTCAGACCCAGAGACCCTGCAAGAGAGGATACTTCATGTTTTAATAATTTGGAAACATCTGGAGGACTCTGCCCACTCCCATGACATATCCACAACAATAAACAGATCCGCCCCCCCCCAGAAAGCAAGAGAAAAAAGCGAAAACAATTATATATAAGAAATGTTGGATCAACCCAAACAAGACAAGGAGGAAGTAGAACTCACATTAAAAGTTACCAAAGACTGTTACTTCACATACAATTACAGACATGATAGAAAACCACAACGGCAGCCATTTTGAAAGAATTTGCTCAAGAAGGGACACAACTTTTAATTGTATGGCACTAAAAAGTTTCACAAAATGACTTAAAGATCAAATGGCACAAATCTGTTTTTCCAAATGTAAATGTAACTGTCTTTGAACATGTTTAGTGTTAGTTAGAAGTAGTTTAGGGCTAAAGGCTCAAGTGTACATCAGAAATAGGATTTGATATTGATGCTTCTTTGAGTATATGAACTGTGCTCTATAAATAAACCTGGCCTTGCCTTTGTGTATGTATTCCTGAATTGGTTCAGTTTCTTGTGGAAATGGATGATCAAGTAGGTCAAACTACTAAACACTGCTATAAAAAATCAACAACATGCTTAACATTAGAACAGATAGACCCAGTTGTGAATGCACTGTGATATACAATTAAACTTGCCTATAGCCTCCCTATGCCATCTTAAGTTAGTCTAGTTTCTTGTGGTAATTGTTGATTAAGTCTAACTTGTAACACCCACGTTTGAATCTATTTCACATATCACATTAGAATAGACCCATACCCTGCTGCCCTGTGTGTGTATGACCTGTGCTATACAGATAACCTTACCCTGAGTGAGGAGACCCTCGCGGACAGCGGTATGAGTGCATGCGCTCGACATGGGCCCACGGTGGCGCAGTGGGAACAGACCAGCTTCTGTTCCGTGTCACAGAACCAGTCCAGTTCCGCTTCGTGGTCCTCGCAGAGCTCGCATTCCCCGGAGAAGATCCCGGACTCGGAGTCTGTGGTCAGGGCAGAGCCACCGTCACCGCCGGTACAGTCTAGTCCTGCGAGAACACGGGCCTCCTTCATCTTCACACCGCCGCTGCTTAAAACGCTAAAAATCGGCTGATCGCTGGCTTTGATGGCGGTGTCCACGGGGGGAGAGTCAGAGGGGCGCATTAAGTCGCAGGGTACGGGTTTGTCGGACATATTCCCAGGGCAGGTGCACCTTCCTCTTGGCGCAGGTGTAACACTCTAACAGCAGGTGAATAAGGAAGTAGGCTCTGCGCTCACAGCCCGCCCCACAGGAGAGGCAAGGTTATTGGGATAGCACAGTTTATACTCAAGGAACTCGAAGGGCAAAACCAAACAACACACGTTATAGTCACACATGGCATTTATATAAATAAACAATCACACTGAGAAAGAGTGAGGAGACAATACTTCAGTGTTATGCACCGCTGAACAGAACAGCCGTTTGACTCCAAGATCTATGAAACAACTAGAACTCCCAGAGCCGTCGTTTTGACTGCAGATTTCACCAGAATGCACCAGATGTATTAAAAGTAAGTAGTTTACAAGGTATGACTCACATTACTCACTTTTAAATAAGTGCTAAAACTGGTGAATACAACTTGAAATACCACATGCTAACTGCTAAGAGTAAAGAGTGTGTTGCTATAATAACTATGCGGCTCTTCTCTAGATAAGATAATTTAATCAAAATAATGACATATCAATAAACTACATAGATACAGAGACAGAAGCAGAGTGAATACACTTTCTGGGAGTTTTAGGACAAAGTCACAAACAAGCAGTGTTTGGGAATTTACTTTAAAAAGTAACTTTTCTCGTTACTCATTACTTCTTTTACAACTATACATAGTTCCCCACAGACCAATGAATGTCACATGACCTCCTCGGAGACGCCATCTTTGATGGCACGCTGCTGTGTTTGTGCATTCCATTAAACAGAAGAATGAGAATAAATGTAGATATTCAAACGCAAATTGGAAAAAAAAGGGCAACTTTTGAGCAAATAATTGTATATTAATACAATGGCACCACAGTTTAACGTGCTACGGACATGTTTTACATATTTGATCAAATTATGCAGCAAAAATTAACAAGCAATGCAAACATTTCTCAAAGCCTTTTGATTTAATACCAGTTGGAGCTCCATTTAATTATTTTAATTATATTAACAATTAATTTAATTAATGCTAATGCCACACGGACACTCTGGATTGCTGTTATTGTTTATTTCCGCGTTTTTGACCGTATGTTTTGGTGAATGGTGGGCAACTGATTTTTCCAGGCGTAAAGAGCAGTTTATTTTATGACACAGATCTTTTTACAGAAGCAATGCTGTTTGTGAACATTGTTTTAGCCCACCATAGAACTATTATTATCTATTTAATACATTTACGTTTGCCCTCGAGAGCCTCGGACGCGACACCGATCCTCCTCATAATAAAGTAATCTAACGCTAAATAATGAAACTCTCAAGTTACCAGCTATCAGCATACACAAGTTAGTACTGAGTAAATTACGTCTGTCAACACATTATAAGATACGATACGCACCTGACACAAAGTGCTCCGAGCATATTCTTGCGTGTTTTGAGGGAGTTTCTTGCCTGTTTATCTTCGCAAGCCATAACCTCCGTGGTTGTTCTGACAAAAGCTTAGTCTTCTCACATTCATGAAGTCTAATGATGGGTATACTGTAAAATCCAAGTTTAACGGAACCTCCGGCACGATTTGAACATCCATTGACCCAGCAGGAGATGACCATTTTCAACTTTATCACGACATTAACACGTTTCAGCTTCTTTTTCTATTGTTTTGCCCACAGCATGCCAACACAAATGGCGCCGGGTCGGCAAATCCCCGTATGTAGTGACGTCATGTGGGAACTATGTATTACTCTCTAAAGAAAGTGCTCCTCAGAGTCCCAGCAGGAGGCCAGTCCCTGTGCTCCTCAGAGTCCAAGAGAAGGCCAGTCCCTGTGCTCCTCAGAGTCCCAGCAGGAGGCCAGTCCCTGTGCTCCTCAGAGTCCCGGCAGGAGGCCAGTCCCTGTGCTCCTCAGAGTCCCAGCAGGAGGCCAGTCCCTGTGCTCCTCAGAGTCCCAGCAGGAGGCCAGTCCCTGTGCTCCTCAGAGTCCCAGCAGGAGGCCAGTCCCTGTGCTCCTCAGAGTCCCAGCAGGAGGCCAGTCCCTGTGCTCCTCAGAGTCCCAAGAGAAGGCCAGTCCCTGTGCTCCTCAGAGTCCCAGCAGGAGGCCAGTCCCTGTGCTCCTCAGAGTCCCGGCAGGAGGCCAGTCCCTGTGCTCCTCAGAGTCCCAGCAGGAGGCCAGTCCCTGTGCTCCTCAGAGTCCCGGCAGGAGGCCAGTCCCTGTGCTCCTCAGAAATGAAAAATATGTAATACAATAACTTTATATCACCAACAGTAATATAACGTATTTTAGGAATCACTTAAAAACCTTTTTTACCATGGTATTGTGGCGCCACCTGCAGGTGAAAGACAGATACTGTGATGGGAGACCTCTGGGAACAGGTTCCAAACTGTCCTTGTGTCCTTAGGCAAGACACTTCCCCCACAGAATGAGTCTGGATGTGGTGGGAGGGGCTGATAACACAGACTGGTTGCCTCGCTTCTGTCAGTGTGCCCCAGGGCAGCTGTGGCTACAGTAGTAGTTTATCACCCGTGTCTGGAATGAAAGAATAATGCTGTGAAGTTTATTTGTCCGGAGAAAGCGCTTTATAATACTAATGCATCACTCTACTCTACTCTTTTCACTGATGCAGTCTTGATAATGCGTTACAAATGTAATTACTGTAACGATTGCATTCTGTTGTAGCGCGTCACTTTAAGGCATTTAAAAGAAACTATAATATTTTAGGTACAAAGGTCAGTAAATTTCAACCTGACATTAAATAGTGTTTTGTTTTTTTCCTCTGCCACAGCGACATGAGCAGGAGACACATCTGCTCACATGGTATTAGTCTGTAGAAGACACTGAGGCTGAAGCAGAATTATGTGGGCTATAGTACTATGTGGACAATAGTACATGTTACAGATGAACAGGCTCAATTATTTAGAGTTCTTTAAAGATGTGTAACATTTAAACCTAACCCTAACCCTTTCAACCTCAAGCTAGCATCATAAGCTACATTTAGCATGTATTTATACATATATAGCATCATAAACTACATTTAGTTTGTATTTAAATATTTGGTGAAAGTGATTCAAAGTAATGCAGTAGTAGAGTAATCCTTTACATTCAGAGACAGTAATACTGTAGTAATACGGTACTTTGAAACAGTTACAGGAAACATATAATGTACTGCGTGTTAAAGCATAGACTGTAAATATTAAAGTAACACAGACTGGTGTTTTTAGCGTTAGCATTGTCCAACGTTCACAGGTTTTGGTCAGATTAACATTTCGCGCGAAAATGGCAGTGTTTGGTCACGAGTGCCTGATGACGTAGGGAATTAAGGCGTGGCTTGTTAAAGATGAGCACGTGATTGGTCCGAGCGCGTGGACGACGTGGACACAGACCCATAGACAAGAGGGGGCGTGGCTTCATGGGGCGGTCCTCCCTCTCCCCCTCTCTCCCCCTCCTGCCTCCACAGCCCCCAGTCTTCTGCGCCAGCGGTGACACGGGCTGAGCTGCCGGAGAGACCCCAGAGAGGCTTCTGCTGGTCGGTCACCCTCACTGAGTTCCCCGGGGGCAGAGGACCCTGTGCCCCGCTGCAGTCGCTCCAGCGCGTTGTCTGTCCAGCCGCTGGCCTCATGTCGGACTTCAAACTCGGGATCGTGCGGCTGGGCCGTGTGGCCGGGAAGGTGAGCTGCCATGTGGAGGGAGGGCCCGGGGCGTTAAACCACCACACCACCGTGTTGTTACAGTGGCATCATGTCAGGGTTTATCTCGGTAACGACAGCTCAGGACCCGCGGAGCTCCCGGTGTGCGGCCGCTCTCACCGGGATTAGCCTCCGCCGTGTGCGCGTGCAGACGCGGTTAGGCTAAAGCTAACGACACCGTGATGGAGACGAGTTCTGAGGGAAACGTGGATGCGAAGCGCTCTGGGCACCAGTGTAGCCCACCGACAGCAGGTGTAGACCCGCCTGAGAGTGTGTCCTGCTCCGTGGATTAGTGTTTTGATGATGACTGCTCCTGAGAGGGCTGTTAGCTTCCCACGCTAGCCTTAGCTTTAGCCCCGTGTGAGGATTACACGGCGTGTCTATCATAGTGCGCTCCATCAGCTGGTTCTTGTATTGTTCCCACTAACAAAGCCCTGTTGGACTGCGGCCCTAGAGCCACCAAACCCGCAGAAAGCATCGTGCTTTTCCTCTGCTTTGTGCATCACGAATGTCACAAGACGTTTAAATATAAACTCCATGAACTCTGCTGCCTCTTGCTGTGCGACTGTGATCTGACTGCGTTATTCAACAAACTTCACTTTTCTTTTGTCTGACTATGAAGCAAAATCATGAAAAGGTGACAATAATTCAATATATTTGTGAATACACACCAGTAGTGGTCTCAGAGGGCGTCGCAAAGTTTTTGATTCTGCAACAGATCAGAGAATCGAACAGTTTAAACATAGGAAATGCAATGATAAACACAAAAGAGGAAGTTGGATGACCACTGTCCGTAGATGTGCATAACTGTCCTTGGACCAGGTGTGTCCAACTAGTTCCAGGAAGGTTTTAGTTTCAACCAAGCAAGCGGTTAAGTTAGCTGGAACTAAATCCTGCTGCTACACAGGACCTTTTGGGTACCGGTCTGGACAGCCTAATAATAATAATATTAAATAATAATAGAACCTTCTGTAATGGCAAGGAATAACAAAAGAATGCAAAACCATGGGGCTTTAACATTTGACATTAGAAAAACATTGTAATGCGCTTTGGGTGAGCTTGGTCTGTATGAAGATTACTCGCTTACTTTGATATTTTTGTTTCAGACAAAGTACACACTGATCGACGAGCAGGACATCCCACTTGTGGAAAATTATGCTTTTGAGGTAGGTTCCCATTTGGCCAAAACACAATAATAATTTTGATACAAACTGATCAAAGCCTTTTTTTTATTCTCCTAGGCGCGCATGGAAGTTGATGCTGATGGAAATGGGGCCAAAATCTTTGCCTATGCTTTTGATATTGGCAAAGGTCGCTGGGCAGGAAGGCCGCTACATGAGCTGCTTTGGTAAGATATTAGATTATTGTTTTTAGAGATATTTGTCACTTTCACTGAAGGCACAGACTAAAAGTCCTGTTCTGTGCTTAACTTGTAAGTGATAGACAGAGGCCTCCTGTTGTATCAGTTGTAACCAGAACATCACAAACTTTTCCAGGGAGAAGCACAGAGGAGGCATTGCACCTAGTTTTCAAGTCATCCACATTAACTCTGTCACTGTGGATAACCGACTGGACAACCTTCGCCTGGTGCCAGTGGGATGGACCCCAAAACCTGAAGAAATATCCAGCAAACAACGGTAGTTTATTATTATGCAAATAATGGACATTGGGGGTAAATGATTATGTCTAACATTTGCATGTTTGTCCCAGAGAGCAGTCCCTGTACTGGCTCGCCATCCAGCAGGTCCCTGCGGACCCAGTGGAGGAGCAGTATCTGGAGCTGAGTCGCACTCGTTACTACAATGCCAACGGAGAGTTGGTGGAGGAAGAGGAATGCTCCTGCACTTACTACGAATGTCACTACCCTCCGTGTTCACTCATCGAGAGACGGGTATGAGCGGGTTCTGTTTGCGTGAAGGGGTCTGGTGTCAATGGTTTTATTTAGAAAATCTATAAATTGGGCACTTAATGTCTGCGTACGACAGAACACCCTAACTACTGTTGCTGACGATTTCTGAATTTCTTGTGATTTGATTAAATGTATTTTTGTTTCGCCCTAAATCACACCAGCAGTTGTCTCCAGGACTTTACAAAGGAAACACAGGAAAAGCAATAATAACAAAAGCACAGGAGCCATTGGTCCATACGGAGCAGGATGAGTACTGTCTAGAAATGTTAATAAAATCATCAGTGGTTCCTCCGAAAACAAGACTGTCTAAGGACAGGGAAACTCTGAGGCCCATATTGAGGATCCACAGAAGAGAAGTCTGTAAAACCAGGACTAGATGAAAGAGGGTTCAGAGGTCCGATCATCACACCAATGGGACACTGGGGCAAATGCAATGAACAGACTACAGCTGTAGTCATTATGTCAGAGGAAGTAGGAGAGAATAGTCCTTAAGTCACTGACAATCTGTGTTCTTTGTGTTTTTAGCTTCGGGAGTTTAATATCTGCGGTCGGTGCCAAGTGGCTCGGTACTGTGGGTCCCAGTGCCAGCAGAGGGACTGGCCGGCCCACAAGAAGCAGTGCCGTGAGCGCAAACGGGTTCTGGCCCTGGAGTCCGAGCCCGAGCGGTGATCTACATGATCCTCATCTGGGACACAACCCCAGGATGAACAGGGTGGGGGGGTAACACTTCAAGGTCTTGAGCCTTAAGAGACTACAAGGCTTTCCAAGGATTCTAAAGACATGGGCCATTTCCCCGGAACTTTCCCCACGCGGAGGACGGGAAATGGGTCATCATCTTCTTCATTCATTCTCAAGGGTTTGAACCACTCTTGGGCTCTACTGCTGCTATGGCGTTTGTGAGCAAGGAACGAGCTGCAGGACTCGCGGATCACTGTCGACGTGTGCGTGTGCGCTGGTACCGTTGTTCTGCCGGGCCACGACCACAAACGGACCTTTTCACTGTACCGCTTCCCCTCCTTGGCGTTTTTTTTGGTGCACAAAGCTGCTGTCACGGTCACCTCCGCCGCCTCACTGTCAGAACAGACTCGTCACACGATAAATGGCACTACCAGTATTGTGTTTGTGTTTTTGTACTTTTCCGCCCACGTGGATGAACGCGGCCGGACGTCGCAGAGGCCGTCTCTGTGCAGGGCCATACGTCACTGTTTTAATCTAATATTTAAACATGGATTACAAAATATTTTGTGTATTTTAGAGAATTGTTGCCGGGCACTGGCATGTTCATGTTTATAATATGGTACCAAATTGGATTAAATAAATAATATTAAAGATCTATTATGCATCGACTTTTTGAGCTTTCTACCGTGTTACAACCATCCAAAACAGACCTGGAGTTGTGTTTAGCTCTATCCATGCTGAAATGAGGAACTTCTGGCACAACAGTGACTCCATGTTTTTTATCTTAAAGCTCTGGTCTCATTCCTGTAACTCCCACTGACTAGAGCAGCTTCTGGACAAAATAATAATACAAAATATTGCTTAAGGAATTTTCAAAGCCAATTTTTAAGTGAACTTTCTTTACAATCACACAATTTTAGCAACACCAGTTCTCCCTCTGGTGGAAGCATAGGGGGTTATTTATTTAATCTTTTTATTCTACTGAATATATTTCATTTCTAAAAGCGGTAATACTTAACGGCCAAAACGCTGCATAATATTTCTTTAACATTTATACTTTCACCAAAGCATCTCTTCATGACATATATTGCTTTTAATTTATGAACAGTCTATAGCCCTGTTTCCACCAGCCCATCTTAGCCTGGCTCGACCTGGCTCTACCTGGTTGCTTTTCCATTACTCTTTATTGTTTTCTAGCGACTCATGCCACATCAAACCAGTGTCTTCCAGCAGCACTCTGGTCAATCAGTCAGAACACTTTAGTACTAGCTCGGCCTGGATAGAACCGGGACTAAAGAAGGACCTGGTTCTGGTTCCGTAGAGCTGGTGTAAACTGGGCTTATAAATGTATTTCATCTGTGATTTTTGTTGTTGCTTTTGCGTCTGTTTTTGCTACGCTCACCACTTTTTGTAGCATGAAGCATCACTAATAACTCTGGACTTGGATTATATTTGAACTTCCATTGGGGCGGGAGGGGTCGCGATAATTTTATTCCTTATTTATTCAACAAATTCTCGGGGTGGATCCCTACTGTTCCTGCTTATTCCCAGTTCAAAACCTGCACGCCAGGTGTCTTCCATTGGACAGATATCTTTATATATTTAAAAACTTGAATTCTTCACAAGTTTTCCCCTGAGACGGTTTTTCGAGAGACTTTTGTCCGTCTCCTCCTCACCACCTGCGACACACGCTCACCCCGTCGTCTCGTCTTCTTCGCGGACACGGAGCAGGTTTAAGGCCCAGAAGGTTCTTTTCATACGCCACAATGTAAAGAAGCTAGCACTGCTTTTATGACCTGACATAATTCATATAACTTAACATATAATCATTTGCGTGTTAAGTTTAGTTCTATGTCTGGCCTGGATTTCCGTCTTCAGTGGCGCTACCTGCATGTGAAAAACAGATCCTGTCAGACTGCGGAGGCTAAGCAGGGCAGGGGATGGTTAGCACGGTGATGGGAGACCTCTGGGTGCCACAGTGGGGCGGCTGCGGCTGTAAAGTGCCAAACTTTTGTTGCGTCCTGAGGCAAGACACTTCCCCCACATTAGAATGAGTCTGGTGTGTGTGTGAATGGTTGGTGGTGAGAGGGCCCCAGGGCAGCTGTGGCTATTGTAGTTTATCACCACCGTGTTTGGAGTGAATGAATAATGCTGCGGCGCGTCTTAGAGAGTCCGTGATAGAAAACCAACGCATTATCAAAGTATTCAAACTCAAGCTAACAGCTAATTAAGCAGTACTAGCTTCTTTACGTCCTTTGCCGTATTAAAAGAACCAAAGCCTTAAACATAAAGACAACCTTTTTACATTTCTCTTGGAGCATGTGTTTTGATTTCCATGCGACTTGGTGATTGTTGACCTTTGTATGACTGTTTTCACTGCACTAAGACGAGGGTCCCAGGTTCGCAGCCGCTGTGGGAGTGAAGGGACTGTGTGTGACTGTGTATCTGTGTCTGAGAAATGTTTTGTATTTTAAGCATTAATCACATAGAAATAAAGAGCTACAATATGTGAAAATATTACAGGGGTTGTTCCATTCTGTGGGATTTGAGAGTCTGAAGTGGCTGAGGAGTTGTTGCAACACTTACGGTCTTTACCAGCGGTGTCGAAGTGGCTGCAGAAAGGACCGGTGTACAGGTTTTCACTCCAACCAAAGTGCCAAACTGTTGTTACTGTGTCCTTAGGCAAGACACTTAACCCGCTTCACCCAGTTTGTATGGAATGAGTGGTGCAAGAACAATCCAGCAGTGAAGCAAAGTTATCCACTTCCAACAAAATAAAACATCAGTATCTATGAATAATTATTGTATTGAATAGGGTGGCAGAGTGGTTTGCCCTCTCGCGTCTCAGCAAGAAATCGTCACTTTTACATCCCAGTTGGAACAGGTTCTTTCTGAAGGGAGTTTGCATGTTCTCCCTGTGTATGCATAGGTTTTCTACCACTGTATTGGAGCGACCACTGCTCCGGACCATAGACTGTAAATATTAACGGAAACTCATCACTTCTGCCTTCTATGGGGCTTTTCTACATGGCCGTGGGGGAGGAAAAGGTGAAAAAATGCATGTGCACATGCGTTAGCCGGCATTAGCCCCATCATTTAGCGAGTGCATTCTGAAGTCCACAGCGGCTAAACTAGACTGGTCCAAAACATATATATTCCCCTCAGTATTGACAGCATCTGGATCGTGGCTTTGGGCCAAGAGCCACTTTTGGACCATCCTGTAAAGCTATTTTAGGTTTTCGCGAGGAAAGAAGACGCCAGACAAAAGCATTGGGTAATTCTCTTTCCGGGTACACCCCCACAGGCCCCGGGTGAGACTGCATCATGTCTCGGCTCTTTTGGAGCCGGGATGCAGATGATAAATTGCCCTAAGGGTTTAGATAAAGTTTACCTTAACCTTAAAATTTCATTGTTTTACCAAGAAAAAAGCCAAATAAAACATGAAAAACACGATATCAATGAAAAATTGTGACTATTAAGTGTTTCTTTTAAACTCAGTCATCACTGTGTCCTTTCAGGGCATCGGGGTAATTCTGCTTTTCATTTCTTTGGAGACAAACTTATTTTGCCATTTCTGTGAAGCACATGAGTCTGTTTTGGAATTTGGAACGACTTAATTCCCTTTATGCCCAAATGACCTTGTGTTTTGAATAAATATAGCTGCAGATGTTATAATGACACAGTTACTGGAGCTTTGGGCTGGAATCTGTGTCTCAGTGACTGAATTCCATCCATCTGCCGCTTCTTTGCTCCCCGTCTCCTTTAGTTTCTGTGTGAGTGAACGTTAGCACAAACTAGCAATGAGATATTATTAACAATGTGTTGGAAAAGAATTTTAATTTAGTGATAAATGTTCATACAGGGACCTCAGTAACTTGGAAACCATTAACTTTCATAACAAGTTTGTAACCACGAGCGTAAAGGTCAGTCCTGGGTCTACAGCCTCAGTCCTGGGTCTACAGCCTCGGTCCTGGATCTACAGCCTCAGTCCTGGGTCTACAGCAGTCCTGGGTCTACAGCCTCAGTCCTGGATCTACAGCCTCAGTCCTGGGTCTGCAGCCTCAGTCCTGGGTCTACAGCCTCAGTCCTGGATCTACAGTCTGTCCGTCCGTGGAATCAAATCCCTCTCTCAATAAAACCTCTTCAATGTTTTTCTAACCCTCCCGCAGAGTTCCTTGCAGATCCAGGAGGGTCTAAGGCCAGGACCACAGGTGGAAAGTAGCTGGAGCTAAATCTGGTGCAGCCATCTTTTTAACGCAACTGCACATTGTCCTTAAGATTCAGATTCATTTTACTAGCCATTTGCAGTAAAACCACATTGGAATACATTAGCAAAAGTTCCCAGTGTGCACAAGACAAGTACAGACATAAAACAACATTAAAAGTACAGAAATAAAACAAATAAAAAGTAAACAATTGTCACTATGAAATAGACCGACTAAAACAGTTTCTATACAAGTGCAAGATCATTAAAGTGCTCTGTTCAAACAGCTTGTGGAAAAAAAAACCATTAGCATAACGAGATGTCCTGCATCTCAGAGAACGATATCTTCTGCCAGAGGGAAGAAGCTGGAACATGGCTTTTCCAGGGGCCAGAATAAATCAAACTTAAGCTTAAAACTTGATGATCCGGGACATTAATGCACATTTATTCACATTTCTGGACAGTGATCATCCTGTTCCAATGAACCAGTGTCCCCAGTGTTGTTATTATTGCATTTCCTGTGTTCTAACTCTTTGATTCTCTGATCTATTGTTGGCTACAGTTTATAAAGTCCTTCTAGACGACTGCAGCTTCAGGTCTGAACGTCTATGGTCTGGAGTGAGTGCAGTGCCACCGCCTGACCTGCAGGGGGCGGTGGAGTTCCACCGGAGCGGTCTCTTATGGATCCTTTCATAACATCAGACCATGGATGTATTGCATCAGACACACAGAACTGAACATGGTGAATCTGGGCATCACTAAAGTGGACGACGCGGTGGCAGCAAAACATCCCGTGAGTGACATCTGTGAGAGAGACCTCCGACGTCATTGTTACGGTTATATACGTTATTATATACATGATTATGACTAAAGACCTGACCTCTGTGTGTTCTAGGGTCTGCAGAGTTATGCTGCTTGTCAATCCCGGGCGTTTATGAAAGGGACTGGAACCTTTATATTTGGTAAATATTGGCAAAGAAAGTGGCATTTCTCAGAGTCATGTTGTAATTCACCAGAAAATGTTTATTTAACACTAACTAGTCCTGAAAGTACCAGAGCAGTCTTCTTTCATATGAACTGTGTTTGCCTGTTACTTGAATGTTTCATAGGGACATTTTGTTGGTCTGAAATAAAGATTAAAAACCTTTTTGATTGTTATTTTTACGGCTTTCATTCAAGTCAATGGAAGTCTGAAAAATTCCCCTTAAACAGTTTAAGTTTGTCACTACTTTTATAAGAAATAAACCATTCACACGTGTTTTATTCTTAACATAGGTCAAAACTGGTTTATATGACGGCAATACAGCAACATGCTACATGCTAACTGTTGCAAGTAAACAGTGTGTTGTCATGGTAACAAGCACAAGCTGAGATCCAGGCCCAGTCCAGTCCAGTCCCAGTCCAGTCCCAGTCCAGTCCCAGTCCAAACCCAGTCCCAGTCCAGGACCAGTTGCTTTTACTTGCATAGAATAATGGTTTTATCAAAGTCTCATCACATCATTATTCATTCTCTCCAAACACGGTGTTGATAAACTACTGTAGCCACAGCTGCCCTGGGGCACACTGACAGAAGCGAGGCAACCAGTCTGTGCCATCAGCCCCTCCCACCACCACCAACCATTCACACACACACCAGACTCATTCTAATGTGGGGGAAGTCTCAGTAAATAAATATCTAACTGTAATCTTTACGTTTCTGGTCCTAAACCATGTGACTTTTCCAGGTGCACTCGGGCTCTTTGCCGTCCAGGCCGCTCTGAGGACTAAAGTCCCGTATCCTCTACAGTACTTGTTGATTTCGATCGGTAAATACTCTATTCTGTCGTACACTGTGCTTCCTCTTTCAGCGACAGTGAGTACAGAACTCGCTGGACTTTTAGGTCTAGTCAAAGAAAACAATCGTCTCTCTCTGTCATGGTTCAGTTTGATTTCCTGTTTTGTGTTTTCATCATTGTGTCGCACTTCCTGTTGTGTGATTCCCTCGTGTGTGTCTCATTAGTCTTGTGTTTAAGCCCGGTGTGTTCCTTCCATAGACTGTATATATTAACGGACAGAGTCACGCCTATCTCCGCCGTTCTAACTGATGGCCCAAAAAATGTGCTCTACTGGAGCAATCCAAAATGGCCGCGAGTGGTCCCGCCCACAAGAAAATTGTGAAAAAATGCATCTGCGCATGCATCAGCTGGCGAGAGCTCCATTGATTTGAACGAGAGACTTCAAAAATTCACAGCAAGTAAACTAGAGTGGACCAAAACACTCCCCTCAGCATTGACACACATGTGGAACGGAGCTTTGGGCCAAGAGCCAACTTTTGGACCATCCTGTAAAGACGTTTTCCAGAGGTCTGCCTCCCTCTCTCTCTCTCTCTCTTCTCTCTTCTCTCCATAGCCATAGCTCTGTATCCCCCTCTCTCTCTCTCCCTCCTCTCTCTCTCTCTCTGTCCTCTCTCCATAGCCATAGCTCTCTCTCTTCCACACGACAGAAAACCTGCAAACTGAAGCACAGATGATGAACCTTCTTTAGTTTTGAATAATCTCTGTTCGACTGAGTTTTCACTAAATCAGTGGCTGCTTTTTTGTGTTTTTTTTGTCTCTTGATTTTCTTTAGCATCACATTTTATTAAACCCATTACTTTTGCCGTTCTGCGTTTTGTGTTATTGTCATTCTGCCTCTAAAAAAGAGAGTACATGTTGTTTTCCTGTGGTCTCCCATCACTGCTGCCCCTGACTGTGATAACCATCATCATTTCAGGGGCCAATAAAACAGTCCACGGGCCATGCTTGGTCCAAGGGCCTGACTTTGACACGCTGCTCTATGACTGTAGTTTGAATAGAAATGTCGTCCGCTCCAGATTTTACTGTGACTAAAAAGTGGTTTTCTTTCCTCAGTTTTGTCGTCGACGGCGAGTTATTCTGTGACTCGGTGGGAAACACAGAAATGTACAGATCTCTGGATTCTTCTGGAAACAGGAAAGCTCCCAGACAGATCCCAGTCTCAGGGTGAATTATACTTTTCCCACATTCACAGAGTTTATCGGTGATTCTGAAACTCTGACGTTTTGTTTCAGCTCCAAAAGAAGAAGATTCAGCTCCGTCCAGAACCAAGTACGGAGACGTGATCGAATAGAACTCTTTTAGATTCTCTTTGTGTGAATGTTTGTGATGACGGACAGTGGGATTAATAATAATGATAATAAATACTGATCCAGGGTCTGTGAGGATTCTCTCACTGATGCTGTTCAAACCGTCTGTTATGGCCTTCTTTGATCATCTTTGGGGCTAATTATTACACGATTCTTTGTGCTTTTTATCGGCTGAGTTTGTTTTAGTAGTTGTGGAGATGAAACAGCAAAAAGTGATGAAAAATATGTTTGAAAATGTCTCAAATATGTCTTAATCTGAGCACATTCTGACTTCAAACTAGATTCTCCAATGGGACAAAGGGCAACATCATCAAAAGATACAGAAATGTGTTCCTTGGAATGAGGAAATAAAGCGACAGTTTTTGAAATAGAATAGAATCTGGTTATAACACAGTCAGAATGTGTCGGATTAAGACAAAATCCGCTCGATTTAAGCCATTTTTATCTGATATTTGATCACTTTGTGCAGTGAGGAGGTGGTTCACATGCACTGCCTTAAACGTGCAGCAGGGGGCGCTCTTGTCTTTCTGACTGCACTGCTTTGGTTCACTATCATCTGCTGTGGATCCATGGCACTTGGTGGATCTGTTTTGGGACTGGATCTAATCACCATAAACCACATGTGTTCGTTTGGACTTACAGTTTCTTTATAAACGTTTAAAGGTCTGCGACACCTCGGCATGTTGGGTTTAGCTGTTAAACATGATACAGGACTGAGGCCGTAGACCCAGGACTGAGGCTGTATAGACCCAGGACTGTTTTATCCACTGCTGTGCAACAAAACAAAAGAACCTTTAATAAGCAGCTTGTGACTAAAATCCAAATCCAGAGGTGATAATCTGAACCAAACAATACTTTTGGAACAGGTTTTAATGAAGAGAAAGAGGAAAACTGAATCGTCAAAACTATGAAACTGAAAGAAATGTTATAAATCTGAGGCGCCATCTTCAAAGTCCTTTAATCAGTTTGTAAAAGAGTAAACGGGGATGAAATAAAAAAAACTATGAACTCGTCTTTGCCTCTGATCCACTTTAGGCCTGAACGTGTGTGATGTCACAGGAAAGAAGGCGTCTGATTGGTCGATCCTTTATGGCTCATTACATTTATTAGTTTGTATTCATTCATTCATTTATTTACATTTAAGATAAACCCACCAGGATCACAGAGATTGGGTGCAGTGTGGGTTTGTGTCTGTGTGGGTTTCCTCCAGGTGCTCCAGTTTCCCCTCTGCCACAATATGCATGTACCATAGATCTGTGAAAAGCATCATACATGTTATAAAGATGACTTACTGACTTAGAGATCGCTGAACCATCAAATTCTGAGCCCAAAATGTGTGAGAGTGAGTTGGAGCCAAACTTTGGTTCTCACGTTTTTGAGCTTGTGTATTTTTTCTCTTTAATATTATTTATGTATTTATTTTTACAGTTTTTAAGAAAACATTTTACTTATGGCGTCAAAATAGGGTCTGCTTAAACGTAACCGTAAAGCAGGAATTGTAAACGTAGGTTGTAAGTATTGTAAACATAAAAAAATATTGTAAACGAAAAAACTGTAGTGTAACCGTAAAGCAGGAATTGTAATCGTAGGTTGTAGTATTGTAAACATTAAAAATATATTGTAAATGAAAAAAATTAAAACATACATTTACGGTTCTGATTTTTCATGTCGCTATAAGAAGAGAACCCATAAATGCTAAGAGCAAACTTCATAGCTGGTAAGTGTCTGTGTCCTACAGAAGCTAATAATGAAAAAGTCCAACTCCAACCCATAAGTGATCACTTGGTTACATCATGTCGCTATAAGAAGAGAACCCGCTGCTACCTGATTTAATCATGATCAGTCAAGTTAAAGCCAGCTCACTTTTAGCGCCGCTATAACAAACAGCTGACGTTGCTAAAATGCTAACATTAGCTGTTTTGCTAAATAAGTAGCTAGGGAGGCTCCTTCGTTTTAGTCTGAGGAGAAACAGTCTTCAAATAACTAACTAAACAGTTGTTCATAAGTGAGCCTGCGTAGCCTTCTAGTCACAACAATACTGATACTGTGAGTGGATGAAGAGCACACCAATATTTTAGAGCTAAAATCACAAACTTGTCTTTTTACCATTAATACAAAGACAACTGGAGAACAAAAGTTTTCAACCTGTATACCACTCAAAATGTAGTAACTACTTATTAATGTGGCTTTTTCCCTTTATCAGGAGAACTGCGCCTTGCATCTGAGGAGGGGACTGCTGAGCTGAATGCATGGATAGACGTGAAGTGGATGTGTTTTATTTTGTGCAGAGCTACTAGTAAATGTCATTCAGTGGTCCTCCTTGTGTCTTGCTCCTTCTTCAGACAGCGCAGAACATAAAACATAACGCAGATTACACTAATAAAGGGGTTAATGGGTGTGCACCAGGTTAAGACTGTAATTGAACATTAAAAGCAAGTTACATGTCCATACCCTGCCATACAGGAACAGTTCAGGGTAAGGATGTACCGAGTCTTTGTAGACGTACTGACTTAATGCCCACTCTCTGACTGGGAGCACATCAGCCTCAAAACAAAGAACTCAGTCCCAGAGTGGAAGTATTTCACATGTCCACATAATTGTATGTATTTATAGATCTATATGCTATGTTTTTTTTGTTTTTAATAATTTGTTTTTGCCTTACAACCAAGTAAAAAAAGTGTATTTTAAAAACAGTTAAAAGCATCATGGAGAGAGGAGAGTGTGGTTATGATGTTAGTGAGTGGGCTTGTCAGAACAGATGAGTTTTGAGGGTGGATTTGGAGAAGCTCTCTTCCACATGGTGAAAAGGCGGGCAGGAGGGACCAAGAGCTGGAGAGGATAGGAGGAGCGGAGGGAGCGGGCAGGTGTGGAGATCTGGAGGAGGTCAGTCAGGTATAAACACTGTATGTCTGGATGAGGAAGTTATAGATATTAGGCCAGGTAACAGATGGCCATTTACTCCTATCTACAACCCACTGTTCGTGAGAATAAGTGCTATTATATGTTTATTTGATAGGCACAGAACTAAAAGTATTGATACAGGTGGCCGATACCATGTTCATAGGCTGTATAGCTAGCACTTAATTTGCAGACCTGATCCCTAAGACATGAAAACACATCACATTTATATAGATTATTATAAAACCACAGTTTTACATCTTGCTGGTCTGCAATGTGTGGTGCTGGTGCCCATCGCAGAGATAACCTGCAAGATCAGAACTAAACAGAGTTTCTGTGTGATTTTAGGAATCTTAACCATCCTAAATTAGCAAACACAGTACAGGTACAGTAGCCAAATATCGTAAAATTAATGGCCTTAACAGGTTAGCCCCGATTTGAGCTACTTAACTTTAAGTTAATTTTGATAAGATATCATGAAGCCAATGGAACGTACTATTTAGCAAGTTTCACTGATTTGTTTAATCATTCAGCTAGTTACCTCATTTGTTTCAAAACTTTATGTACAGGTTATGGACTGACAAAATTCATTGCTAGCTAGCATGGGCTCATTAGGTAAGCCGCTATAATTATGTAAATAATAAGCAAACAAAAAATCAAAGACATAGTTTTATTCACCTTTGATAGCAGTAGATAATCCTGACATGACAAAGCATTCAGTGTGAACAACGTACAGTGGTGGTGAAGGTCCCGAGGTGTAGCTTAGCTGGCTAGCCTTGGGGCAACATAGGCATATGACGTTATTACGAGAGCATGTTTCACACGATCTAAACATGACCTGGTGTAATTATGGTGTCCACAAGAGAGCACATACCACGTGAAAGCCTATAATAGCCAGCCCAGTTGAAAAAATGTGATCAATCATACGATGTAGAGTTCGAACGAGACTTGAATTTTGAATGGTGTGTGTTTTGGTTTTGTGATGACGTAACATCCGGTGTCTCCAGCCAATGGGCGCGCTGAGCCCGCCCCTCCAAAAAGGGGTCAGATGAAAAATGTATCGTAACCGTAAGTTTTGACTCGTAAGCGTAACTAGTGAATCGTAAACGTAACTTTTGAAGCGGAACATGAAAAATCAGAACCGTAAATGTAAGTTTTAATTTTTTTCATTTACAATATATTTTTAATGTTTACAATACTACAACCTACGATTACAATTCCTGCTTTACGGTTACGCTACAGTTTTTTCGTTTACAATATTTTTTTTATGTTTACAATACTTACAACCTACGTTTACAATTCCTGCTTTACGGTTACGTTTAAGCAGACCCTATTTTGACGCCATACTTACTGCTTTTACTGTAATAACTGCTGGAATAAAAGTGTTATTACAAGTTTGTGTTTTTAGTCTGGTACAGCACAGTCCGGGGCCGATGCTAATTTAGTGCTGTCTGATTGATTAGCGTTAGCTGCTAATTCTGCCCCAAGTTAAAATCAATCAAAAACTGTATCAAAGGGACTGAAGCTTTGAAGGTCAGGGTCCGGTCCCTCTGCCTCTGGATCCACTCTTCAGGTTTTATTGTGAGTTTCAGGGCAGTACGCCAAGGTTACTGCAAATAATCTAAATATAATAAGTAATGTTTATTTATATAACGCCTTTCTCTGACCAGAGCCTTTGTGACTCCAGAGATGGGAGGGGCCAGTACAGGAGGCACAGACCTGTTGTACATGTTTTTAGTGGTAGGGGAAACCGGAGCACCCGGAAGAAACCTACACAGACACGGGTAGAACATGCAAACTCCACTCAGAAAGGCTCTGTTCCGACCGTGATTCGAACCCAGGACCTTCTTGCTGAGCAGTGAGTGTGCTAACCACTCAGCGAGCAGAGAATATCAGTGTTTTACTTTTATTATAGAACTTTAGAACATCCACAGACGCAGGAAATGGGATTAAACAGAGACGACAAAATATGAACAAAAAACAACGGTGTGTTTACTCTGTTTTCAAAGCCTCAACACAAACTGAGTTTAAGACCCGATTCAGAGACGTCTTCTAAAATGACACTTGTAAATGAATGAATAAATGAATGGGCAAAACACGCGTTCCTTGAGGTGTCCATAGGATCCATGAGATAAATTAAGTTTATTTCATAATCATTTAAAAATCCACTGCAGCGAGAGTTCTTTTGGAAACACCTGAAACTTTACAGAGAGTCATCGAGACCAGCCCCGAAGAAACAGGTCTGGACTCGTCTGGATCCACACGGGAACTAGGTCTAACTGGATCTTCAGCCTCAGTCCTGGGTCTACAGCCTCAGTCCTGGGTCTATTGCCTCAGTCCTGGGTCTACAGCCTCAGTCCTGGATCTACAGCCTCAGTCCTGGGTCTATTGCCTCAGTCCTGGGTCTACAGCCTCAGTCCTGGATCTACAGCCTCAGTCCTGGATCTACAGCCTCAGTCCTGGGTCTACAGCCTCAGTCCTGATATAGGGTTGTACACAAAAACACCTAATTGAACAGTATTGCATAATCTAGAATAATCCTGATTATCTGGTTAATCTGTGTTTCTCTCATTTAAATACTTTCCATTCTTTCTGTGAACCTGTAATCTGCCGCTCCCTGTGCGCGGGATCAATAAGAGGATCATAGTTTATGAATAACGTCCCAACTTCAGTAATAACAAAAGCAAACTCAAACCGGAGCCTTGTCCGCCTCTGGGCCAATCAGCGGCGCGCTCGTGCGGCCCTCAACCAATGGGTGCAGTCGGGTCGCTCTGTGTGAGGGCGGGGCTTAACTGAATAAAGGAAAGTATGTAACAGCTGCACGCTCTGCCTCAAAGTGTGGGTCTGAAGGAATGAGACCAGACCTGAGATCAAACCTGAGACCAGACCTGAGACCGAGACTAGACCCGAGACCGAGACCAGACCTGAGACTTGAGACCTGAGACCGCAGACTTGAGACCGGGACCAGACCTGAGACCGAGACCTGACTTGAGACCGGGACTAGACCTGAGACTGGGACCAAGCTGCTAATAAGAGATTGTTATTTTAAGCCAGATGCTCCTCTCGGGACCGTCTCTGACTGTTCTATGGCTTTAACTTTGGCGGATCTGAAAATGAGCGGAGTTTACGTGAGAACGGGACCAGCCAAGTCCAGAGAAAGTGAGTTCTGCTGCACCGAGGGACTGCCCAAGGCCTTTCTCCACAGCTTGAGAACCCTCTTTGACATCCTGGACGACAGCGGGAGAGGCTACGTGCACATATCCGAGATAGAGAGCCGATGGCAGGGGGCGGACACCCAGGACCTGCCGGCGGGGGTCCTGCGCTGCCTCCGCCGGGTGGCCCCCCCTCACGGCTGCCTCTCCTTCGAGCGCTTCGTGTCCGGGCTGCGCTGCTCCATGCTCAACCCGGAGTATAGAGCGCACCACGTCAAGGTCCAGGCCACGGTCCGTCCGCAGCCACAGCACAAAGCCGAGGGCAAGGTGCGTCCTCTGGGCATGAGTAACTTGGTAAACACCCAGACCAGGACCCAGACCAGGACCGGGGAGACCTGTGGACCACCTCCCCGGTATGGAGCGGAGAAGAGGCCCGGGAGGAGCGTGGAGCGCGCCCCGGAGCCCAACGGAGACTGTGGAGGAGGCTACCGGGTGGACCAGAACCATGTGCCCAGGGGAGGTGCAGCGCAGCCCGGAGGGGTCAGGTTCATAGAGGGTCTGGATCTGGAGTCCCCGCGGCTTCTGCGACCCACAGGTGAGACTTACACACATTCAACAGAATAGTGAGAGATTTTAGATCCTACTTTATCTCCAGCCTGAGTCCTGGATCTGTACTTTCTGGACTGTAAGCCGCATATAGCACCTGTGTGTAAGACGCACCTGTGTACAATCCGCACCAGCACCACCCACATTTGAAAAGAAAATCGATGTTGTCCACATATAGGCCGCACTTGAATATAAGCCGACTGTTTTAACTGGTCACAATGAGAGACCTGAGTAGGACCAGGGAGAGGTCAGAGAGAGACCATGGAGAGGTCAGAGAGAGACCAGGGAGAGGTCAGAGAGAGACCAGAGAGAGACCAGAGTGAGACCATGGAGAGGTCAGAGAGAGACCAGGGAGAGTTCAGAGAGAGACCAGAGTGAGACCATGAAGACAGCCTTAGTCCTCGATCTACAGCTTATTATTATTATATTATTATTAGGCCCGAGAAAGGGCCTATTGTTTTTGCTCGAGATATGTCAAATTCTGCACTTTGAGCCTTAATTGCACCCCCTGAACATGCATGAAAAGTTGTAAAATTTTGACCAAACATCAGACCTGGTGAAAAATTTGATGTTTTGGTGTTTATTTTTATGGGACTCAAAAAATGCCAGAACAGCGCCACCTACAACAGCCAATGGGAGTTTCAGAGGTCAAGTTTGTCGTAGAGCCATGAAATTCGGTACACATGTTCCTCAAGTCAAGATACGACCAAAATGTTATCATGGCTCCGGCCCCCCGACAAACAGGAGGCCCATAAATTTCACTGCAAAATGAAAAAATGATCCGCAATCATTTTCATACATGTCGGTTGGAAAGCGACTCCTCCTCGGCCGTTTCACAGATTGGCCTCCATATCACTCCACATTGTCTAAACACATGTACCATCAAAATGACCTCAGGGATTTTTGATCAGTGAAACGTTGTTTGAGCAGCGGAGCGGCAAAATGTGAGTGTTTATTGGCCGTTTTTCACAACCTTCTATTTGCTCCCGTTTACACATACAAATTCCGATTTGCACAGAACTTGAATCCATGGTTCAACTCTAGGGTCTAGGTCATTTGAAAGTGAAATAATTGAACTTGGCTCATTGACGCCCCCTACAGACTATTTCAGAGTTAAACAATGTATTAAAGTTTTGTGCAAATCAGACTTTGTATGTGCAAACGGGAGCAAATTTAATATTGTCCAAAACGGCCAAAAAAAGGTCACAATTTGCAGCTCCCCTGTTCAAACAACGTTTCACTGATGAAAAATCGCCAAAGTCATTTTCAAGGTACATGTGTTGAGATGATCTGGAGCGATTTTGAGGCGAATCGGTGAAACGGCCGAGGAGGAGTCGCTTTCCAACCGACATGTATGAAAATGATTGCTGTTCATTTTTCCATTTTGCAGTGAAATTTATGGGCTTCCTGTATGTCAGAGGGCGGGGCCATAATAAAATTTTTTGAGGAACATGTGTACCAAATTTCATGGTTCTACGAAAATTTTGACCTCAAACCCCTCCCATAGGCATTTTTAAATTGGCTGTTGTAGGTGGCGCTATAGAGCCAATTCCAAAATTTTAACTTTCAAATGACCTAGACCCAAGAGTTAAAACCATGGATTCAAGTTTTGTGTAAATCAGACTTTGTTTGTGCAAACGGAAGCAATTTTTCCATTGTCAAAATCTGAAAAAAATACGCCACTTTTTGGCGCTCCGCTGCTCAAACAACGTTTTACTGATCAAAAGTTTGTGAAATCAAAATGATGGTACATGTCTTTAGACGATGTGGAGCCCCGCCCTCCGACAAACAGGAAACCCATAAATTTCATTGCAAAATGGAAAAAGGAAAACCAATCATTTTCATACATGTCGGTTGGAAAGCGACTCCTCCTCGGCCGTTTCCCCGATTGGCCTCAAAACTGCTCCAAATTATCTCAACACATGTACCTTCCAAATGACCTCAGGGAATTTTGATCAGTGAAACGTTGTCTGAGCAGCGGAGCGGCAAAATGTGCGTTTTTTTTTGGCCGTTTTTGACAACATTAATTTTGCTCCTGTTTGCACAAACAAAGTCTGATTTGCACAAAACTTAAATCCAATGTTCAACTCCAGGGTTTAGGTCAGGTGAAAGTGAAAAATTTGAAATTGGCCCATTACAGACTGAGTCAAAATTGACATGGGGAGCCAAACCAGCTCTACTTATCATATTCATTACAATTTGACAAACATTCTTCTATGGCTACGGGAACAAATCATCACGCGGCGGTGCCACCTCCTTTGCGCGGTGCTGCGTGGTACGGTGTGGTGCGGCGTAGTGCGGGGCGTTGTGGAGCGGCGCGTTGCGGCTTGGTGCGGGGCGGCGTGATGCGGGGCGGCTTGGTGCGGGGTGGTGCGTGCGGTGCGGGGAGTCGCGCGGTGCAGCGAGCGCCGTTCGACGCCGCTTGCGGCTTTAATTATTTACTTCCTTTTGTTCTACACTTTCTTACAAAACACAAGTATATTAACAACGTTAGCGTCATAAACAGAACAAAAACAGCCATTTTCACAAATTTTTCTTGAATTCTTTTGTATTTGGGACATTCCTGAAGCTGCTCATTTAAGATCCACAGTTTCACCTTTTACAAAAACACAAACACCTCCTTTACAGTGTAGCATCAGTAACATCAGTAACATCAGTAACATCAGTAACATCAGTAGCATCAGTAGCATCAGTAACATCAGTAGCATCAGTAACATCAGTAGCATCAGTAACATCAGTAACATCAGTAGCATCAGTAACATCAGTAACATCAGTAGCATCAGTAACATCAGTAGCATCAGTAACATCAGTAACATCAGTAGCATCAGTAGCATCAGTAACATCAGTAGCATCAGTAACACCAGTAGCACCAGTAGCACCAGTAACATCAGTAGCATCAGTAGCATCAGTAGCATCAGTAACATCAGTAGCATCAGTGACATCAGTAACATCAGTAGCATCAGTAACATCAGTAACATCAGTAGCATCAGTAACATCAGTAGCATCAGTAGCATCAGTAGCATCAGTAACATCAGTAACATCAGTAACATCAGTAGCATCAGTAGCATCAGTAGCATCAGTAGCATCAGTAACATCAGTAGCATCAGTAGCATCAGTAGCATCAGTAACATCAGTAGCATCAGTAGCATCAGTAGCATCAGTAGCATCAGTAACACCAGTAGCATCAGTAACATCAGTAACATCAGTAGCATCAGTAGCATCAGTAACATCAGTAGCATCACTAGCATCACTAGCATCAGTAGCATCAGTAACATCAGTAGCATCAGTAGCATCAGTAACATCAGTAACATCAGTAACATCAGTAACATCAGTAACATTAGTAGCATCAGTAGCATCACTAGCATTAGTAACATCTGTAACATCAGTAACATCAGTAACATCAGTAGCATCAGTAACATCAGTAACATCAGTAGCATTAGTAACATCTGTAACATCAGTAGCATCACTAGCATTAGTAACATCTGTAACATCAGTAGCATCAGTAGCATCACTAGCATCAGTAGTATCAGTAACATCAGTAACATCAGTAACATCAGTAGCATCAGTAGCATCAGTAACATCAGTAGCATCAGTAGCATCAGTAGCATCACTAGCATTAGTAACATCTGTAACATCAGTAACATCAGTAACATCAGTAGCATCAGTAACATCAGTAGCATCAGTAACATCAGTAACATCTGTAACATCAGTAACATCAGTAACATCAGTAACATCAGTAGCAGCAGTAGCATCAGTAGCATCACTAGCATTAGTAACATCTGTAACATCAGTAACATCAGTAACATCAGTAGTATCAGTAACATCAGTAACATCAGTAACATCAGTAACATCTGTAACATCAGTAGCATCAGTAGCAGCAGTAGCATCAGTAGCATCACTAGCATTAGTAACATCTGTAACATCAGTAACATCAGTAACATCAGTAGTATCAGTAACATCAGTAACATCAGTAACATCAGTAACATCAGTAACATCAGTAACATCAGTAGCAGCAGTAGCATCAGTAGCATCACTAGCATTAGTAACATCTGTAACATCAGTAACATCAGTAGTATCAGTAACATCAGTAACATCAGTAACATCAGTAACATCTGTAACATCAGTAGCATCAGTAGCATTAGTAACATCAGTAGCATCACTAGCATTAGTAACATCAGTAGCATCAGTAGCATCAGTAGCATCAATAGCATTAGTACCATCAGTAGCATCACTAGCATTAGTAACATCTGTAACATCAGTAACATCAGTAGCCTAGTTTATACTCGCGCGGCGCGGAGTTTACGGAGGTGACGCAACGTCACTTGCGCAACGCGTTGGTCACCGCAAGGCCCTTACGTTGCCTGCCGCGCAGCATCGAAATGTTCTAACTACGTAAGGGTCGCCGCAAGGAATCTCCGCTGTGATTGGTCCGTGGGTGTGTATCGGAAGGAAGCACGGAGCGGCTGCAGCAGGGACAATGGACGAGGCACTATGGAGCAGAGAGCTTCACGCTTCGAAGGAACCGAAGGAAAAGTAGTTTGGGCTCAGAGCCTGATATAGACGGAGACTGTGGACTAGAGCTCTGTTGCATATCTAACATACAGTATATATAACTTATATCTAACATATATATAACTTTTATCTAACATTTATATAACTTATATCTAACATATATAACTTATAAACTGTGCAGTCGTTTGTTTTGCACTGTTCCTGTCTTTGTTTGAATCGTAGCTTATCGCTTCTGTTGCGTTCCTCCTGCACTTCTAAATTGTCCATGTTTGTCTCAGATATTTACCACTTATTGTTTTGCTGTTTGTGCTGAATACAATTTAATAATAACTATGTTTCCAACAAGAACTGTGTCTTTATTCACAACATCACAGTTAAATGAGTTAAGAAATAATGAGTCCATAGAACTATCACATAAACCTGCAGTAGAAACACATGTAATGAGCTCAAACAGCTTTGTTTTTGTTCATGTTTTTG